CTGGACTCAAGAGACCAGTTACATTGTATGGTGCTATTTTGTATATTTAAACAATGTTAATAACTTTACACTGAGAATTAAAGTAATTTGGAAGCACATTTAAATTGTTTATGTTTTTCTAAATTAGCTTAATCTGAAAAAAACCACCCTTTTAAAAAGTTCAATGGTATTTGTAGCTATATAAATAGCAAATCATCCTATCAATAGATGAAATCAGACTAATCTATACTTAAATAGGAGGTGTGGGATGTGTTAAGATGCTTATAAGAAACTAGTTTTCACTCAAGTTAGTTGTAAGAGGCAATTTTGTCGAGTGGTTAAGATACTAGGCCAGAAACAGGAGACTCTGAATTGCCTTAGGCATGAAACCAGCTGGATGACTTTGGCCAGTTACCTTCTGTCTGCCACCTTGAGTTATTTATAAAAATAATAAAAGCAGGTTAAAAGAATAATATGAATAAATAGATTTTAAAAATTGTAGTTTGCAATGGAATAGCCCAGGGCCTTTAAAATAATAGGAAAATATTTGGTATTTATACCTCTCCAAAATAGCAATTGAAACAATTTGTATCATATTTTAAATATTTGAACATTTTTTTCTTTATATAACACTGGGTTTCTTTGTGGTAGTTACTGGCAGCAAACATATCATATGGTTATTCTGTACAGATTTTCTTAGTATAGCCATATCTTTAGCTATTATAACAGTTTTGATAGCAAGTCATATTGAAACTATTGTAGTGCTGTGTAAAGATACGGTCATAATGGAAAATATCACTGAGTTTATAGATTTGTATGGAAATCCTAATGTTGCCAATGTCATTCACTTTGTTAAGTAAGTGGCTTAAACAAAATCTAAACCTATATTGTAAAATTCCAAACAGATATAAAAGAAGGAAACTTGTTTCCTGAACAAGCTATTAGAGAACCAGTTTGGTCTAGTGCAGTAGCACCAACCTTTTGGGCACCAGGGACAGGTTTTGTGCAGAAAAGTTTTTCCACAGACCAGATAGAGGGGAAGTGGTTTTGCATTCTGCCTCCATCCTGCAGATGGGCTTTGCTTGTTTGTATGACCTGGTTACTGGCATGCTATGGACCAGGGCCAGTCCATGGACTGAGGGGTGGGAAACCTTGATCTAGTGGTTAAGGTACCAGACTAGAAAGTAAGAGAGTATGAGTTCAAGACCCACTTAGCCATGAAACCCAGCTGCGTGACCTTGGGCCACTCACCCTCTCTCAGCCCAACTCACCTCACAGGGTTGTTGTGGTGGAAAAAAAGGATGAGGGAGGTGTGTTGGATGTGTTGTTGAGTTGTTTGTGAAAATAATAAAGGCAGGATACAAATAATTAAATTAGCATTGCCATTACTTATTAGTGAGAATACACAGAAACTTTATGTTGGGTATTCAGTCCAATATCAGACATCATGATTCACAGATGTAGCAGTATGTACTATGTAGTCATCTGTTGGATAAAAACAATTCAATAATAGATGATGTAAAGCAGTCCTCGCTGTAAGAACTAAGCTGAAATTTAAATATTTTTAAGCTGAAATTTAAATATTTTTAAACAAGGAATGAGCAGGTGAAAATAATTGTACACAGTTTTGATGTCTGTAAATATCAAAAGTAATTTGAAAAGCATGCTGGTTAGATACTATCACTGAAAACTACATCATGAGTTATGAGAATTCAAATGCACACCACTGGCGAATGAATGAAAATAACAGAATAAATTCCATGATTTCGCCTGCATTTTTCCAGTAACTGATAGAATTGACTATAGAGACCTGCTCTCAGTATTTGTTTGTCCATTTAGTCCTACATATGAAAGAATGTTGCAGTATCAGTTGACACTAGATTAGTGTTCATTAGTAGAGCAAATGGATTAAGATATTATTGTACTTTCTGCCAAGGACATATAAAATTTGTTTTCTAGTTAGTATTTTATGCATATGGTTCTTATTGACCAAATAAATGCAATAAATTTATCTTAGTCCCTTTAGCTTAAGTAAACTTAACTTCCTTAAACTAGTAAAATGGGCATCATTTTATATTTTTATATTTTTCATTGGCTTTAAGAAAAATACAGGGTCAAAGTCAAGTTAGAAGGCAGATGGGCTTATTTTTGCCTATCTGTGCTGATTTCAAATTGCCATCTAAATGATTAGTTTACATATCTTTATGCAAAACAAATAAAAGCTCCATAGCTGCAATTGATTCCTGTACACAGAATTGCATGGTAAAATGAAGGGGAAAAACTATTTAGAATAGATGACATTCATTTGGTTTTCTTTTAATTCTGTACACTGATGTTCAATTAAACATTAGTAGAGTTGCAGCATAAGCCATTACAGAGTAATGCTTGTTTTCCTTATTCAAGTCATATTGAACAACTAAATATTACACATTCTGATGAGCTTTAATATATGCGTGCCATGATCTGCTGGTAATTTACTTGTTTAACTGCATCAACATTTTTTCCTTTCTGCTTTGTTTTTTATATTTTATTTTTTTAAAAGAAAATCCCAGATTTATCATCTCAGGGAATAGTTTATAACATGAACAGTCTGTGATCAACAAAGGATTTAAGAATGAAAATGTGATGAATGGGTGCATTAAGTTTCTCTTGGATTCTTTACTCCCAACCCATCTAAGGACATGACTTTCTAGAATATTAGGGGACCCTCCAATATTTATCATAATAGTGTGCAAAATATCAGTCAACTACTCTTTCTTTTCTTGGAAGCCATACATAGCTTGTATGGTCAACAATAGAGCATAGTGCTCGCTGAACTGCCTTAGAAATACTTTTCGTAAAAAACCAACCTTCTCTTCAAACTATTCCATTCCTGCCAAACTGTCAAATCTTGCTTAAATTCAAATTAGGGAATGTATTAATCTGCATTTATCCAACTTCTGGTATTTAGGCTTTAATATGTGCACAACAACTTGAGATAATGTAGATAAGAACATTATATCACTTGGTTGTACTATGAACTTTAAGTACAAATAAGGCAATGAATCAATAATGTTCTGCTAACATTTCTGTATGTAAATTGGGAAAGGTCTATGTTGCATACATTTTTTTAAAAAAGCTTTAACATTAAACTTGGCAGAAAGCAAGAGCAGATAATTATTATACTTAAATTTTGGTGTAATATGGAGCTCATTTGTGAACTATGACTTGATCAATATTCCCTAATTTAAAAATCATGGCTTAGGGTGATGTGTGAAACTAGTTTCCAAAACAAGGATGGGCAATTGAAAGATACCACTGCTAAAGAATACAAATGAGGCAGTGGGAGTTTCATAGTGACAAGGGATTGTTCACCCTTCCTATATTTCCACTATATTTTCATTACCTTTTTTTAAAAAAAGACAGGAAGTGGCAATTTATGTAGAGTTATGTGCAACTAATCATTGTTCTTAAAAGAAGAGGGCTTATTAAGTCAGAACACAAGCTATTTTTTAAATATATTTTGAGGCTGCAGACACTATAACTTGCCAAATATTGTGCATGGTAACAGAGGTCTAAATCAAAATGTCAGCAAGGATGTGATTCAAAGTAATTAACTGTCGGGTGAAAAATATTATGTGATATACAGAGAAAATCTTTGTCATTTATATTTTGTAAAGAATGAGTGGCCCTGAAAAACATTCATGTAGCTCAAGATGGTATCATATTTTAAATTATAAATAGACATATTTTAAAGTAAAAATGGCAAAATTTCACCAAAATGTTGTGATTATCTTTCATAATCTGGATAAAGTTTAACATATTTTCTCTTTCAAATTTGTAACTCATCAAGTCAAATAGAACCCAACATCAGACTACCATTAAGTACTCCATCAAGGCAGGACATAAGACCACAGGCCATGAGCTGCAATCCATTTGCTTTAAAGTTATTAATTTTCATAATTATTGAGCCATGTTAGTGCTAATTTTATATATTTACATTAGAATATTGTTTCAGTGCAAGATGAGAGAGCTTGAGCTGTCTGGCTTGTAGTTCATTGAGTATCACTGTTACTTATTTTTCCTTAAACCCATGATTTGGGACTATAACCCACATATTTTAAAAAATATATCTTCATGAGCTTTCCCATTTATGGTATCTTCAAATGCAACTTTTGCCATATATACAGATTTCCGATAGAAGCATTTTTGAAAATATTCTTATTACTTGGAGCATTCTTTTCTATTTTGACCTTGAGTTGCCCTAACAGAGGCTTAGAAAGAATCAGATAAAAGTAATTTACTGCATACTAAAAATATAATGAAAACATTGTACTCATCTAATAAATAAACCAACATCTTGGCAAAACTAGCCTACAAAAGAATAATATTTTTTTCCAAAATAGACAAATGTCCAACAATTATTACGTGAAGGTTAAAGTATTCTACATGTTTCATCTCAGATGACATGACATGCTTCCTGAGGCTGATTTTAGCTAGTTAGGTACAAAAAAAGAGAGAAAGGTCTTGACCCAGGCATATCTAAGAGGGGAGAGAGAAATATCATAACAGAATAAAGCTTCAATTTAATAAAATAATAAGCATATAAATTTAACACACCTTATATTTCTGAGATGGCTTCTCCAACATATATTTTTTTAAAAAACAAAGCAATCAAAATGCATATGTAGCATGAAACAGTAGAAATAATTCCACGTATAATATTTTTCCTATGTATTTTTTCCTCTAGAGTGTTAACTTCATTTGTCAACACCTACATTCAGAACTCTTCAGAGAAGAGTAAAAGTAAATGTTGACCATTTTATCAGAGGAGGAAGAGGAGAAGGGCCAAAAGCAGGGTTTAAATTTCAGCGTACTGGTTACCAAAACAGATTTCCATATGTAAAATCTTGTTTAATTTGTTTGCCTACTTCTTCCTACTGTTTTTGACTTACCGTCTATTCTCTCTGTGTCTCTTTTTCTCTCTCTCTCTCTTTCTCTTTCTCTCTCTCTCTCTCTCTCTCATTTTCCTTTGCAAACAGAAAGCTGACCTTGCAGTTGCACCCCTGGCTATTACGTATGTTCGAGAGACGGTCATCGACTTTTCCAAGCCCTTTATGACTCTCGGAATAAGTATTTTGTACCACAAGCCCAATGGTACAAACCCGGGTGTCTTCTCCTTCCTGAATCCTCTCTCCCCTGATATCTGGATGTATATTCTGCTGGCTTACTTGGGTGTCAGTTGTGTGCTCTTTGTCATAGCCAGGTAACATGTCACACCTTGTGATTTTTTTGGCAATTGTTATTATTTTTTCCCCTCTTCAACAATAATTGTCAAAAGTCACAAATTCTTCCTTCTTTCTTATTCTGAATTGCTAATCGATTATCTGTACAGAGGAAAAAAATCAGCATCAATTTAGCATCAGCAGCTCCTGCACTGTAATGCTTTTGTGCTCATTCATATTGACTGTGCCCCTTATCTTTTTATAATAGCTATGATGATTTCTATCAACTCGTGAACAGTACATTCAAAAAATTGGGCAGCTCTTTTAGAAACAATTTCCTCCATACCCATCTTGAGTTTTGCTGTTTTGAAAGTTTATTTTTTATATACTGGTACAATATTAGCAAGAAAGAAGTGTTCAAATAAAACACACAAGTATTCTAAATGAAATTAAGGACAGAAATCTTTCTACATAATGCTAGTAACAGCAAAGGAAGCTGGGAAAATGGAACCATGGCCCCTGGCCTAGACTTGTCATATTTTTTTTAAATTAGTCTCTCTCTTTGCACAGTTCATATATTGTTAAAAAGTAGTTAATTATTTTTATGGATCATTTAGGAAGAAAGAAGGAGAATGTCCATTAAATTCAAATGTCCGTTAAATCTGAATTTATGTTATTTGTGGATGATTTCATTGATGCAAATTGTTTTGTTTGAGTTAAATCTTGATTTAATGGGCAAATGTTAATCTATTATCACATAGTAGCCTATTAAATATGGATGTACATGCAAAAAATTGTACATTGTACCTTGCATCTATGAAATGCAAGCCTACTTTACAGAGGTTTTACTATACTTCTGGTGACAGGAGTTTGTATATCTTCATTATGATTTTGAATCTGGTCACCAAAGCTTCTAAAAATCAGGACAGTGATGAGGGGCAAAGCAATGGTGAGGAGAGGCAACATGGTCCTGCCTATTTCTGTATGGTATATTTTAGAATACAAAACTAAATCCATTAAACATTTCATTTGGAGGTCAAATGAAGAAGAAATGTACACAATCGGGCATAATATGGTTTTAAGATCCAGGTACCTCATAACCAGATTAATAAAATCATACATTTTTACTCTAATTCCTCCTATCTCTTTTGAACTTCCATTAATTAACTAAATAATGTAGTAGCACTTTTTAACTTGCATGAGTCCTAAAAATAGGTAAATCAGAATAACAGTTATAAAAACATACCTAGATACTGAGACTGAGGAAATTACTGCCATAGTATCTCAGTAAAACAAGGATGTCAGAGTCCCAAATGTACTTTTTCAAAAGACAACTGGATTGTGTTTTCCTTGAAGAAATTTTGCTTCTTATCCAAGAAACTTCTTCAGTTCAGTCAGTTCTTGGATAAGAAGCAAAATGTCTTCAAGGAAAACAAAGTCAAGTTGCCTTTTATAAAAACACCATTGGGACATCCATGACCTAGATGACTGAGAATCTCCACAGACAAGGATATCAGAGTTTCTTCCTTGGATTTTCATTTTATATGTGTCTAGTGTTTTAATTAAGAAATAGGCAGTCTGGCACAGTGAAGTTATGGAAATGTATCCAACATACAATATGAAGTCTTTATGTGAACCAGAATTATTCCACTGATTTATGTTATAGGAAGATCCGGAGCTTCTATTAATCATGTCTATCAATCTTATTAAATACTGTTATCTGAGGAGCCTATTCCTAGCAGTGGAGCTAGTACATTGTTTGCCAGTCCTTACATCAAAATAATGCTCCCATTTGATGGTTACTGGTTTATAATCAAACTGGGGAAATTTTTTGATTCATTCTTGCATCTTGTTGATCACTCCTCATGAATTCTAATATTGAAATATTTGTGTTTATGATGCATTGATTTTTGTTGTTTTTATGGATTAGCGGGTTCTGTCTGTGGATAAGAAGATGTGACTTTATGACACACATAAAAATCTTAATCTCGGGTAGGTTATGTTCATGTTGGCTTTGGTTATAAAGATAAATATGTAACAAAATACAGATCATGTATATAAAAATTTATATGCACAAACATACATACATACATACAAACATACATACAAAATGAAAACTATACAAAAGGGGATTGAGCATATGAACTGCAACATTTGTACAATTCTAAAAACTGCTCACTTTACCTTTTATTTCCCTCTGCTCATTCCTCAGAGGTTTTTTTTCTTTATTAAAATTGTTTTCATGCCACATTTATTTTTGTTTTTCATAAGAGTAATCAGTAATTGGTTTCTTTTTCCCAGGGCCAGCCCTTTTGTTATCCAACATGAGGCAGCTATTTTAAACAATAGAGCAAGAAGTAGCTCCCTCACAATTGTTCTCTCTCCACAATCCTTGGAAGAAACAGTGAGGGACATAGCCTATGCTGTATTTGTTAAACTAACACTGATCTCAAGTGTCAATCAGAAATAAGATAAAACTATCAGCAATTATTTTTTGTATATAGGTAGAAAAGACTATAAATGTGTCTTCTGCCACTGTTAGCAGTATATCTTAATTTGGCCCTGAATCAGAATTCCATTTAATTCATTTAATACAATTTTCTAAGAGATTTATCTTTACCTTTATCTAATGCTGAAATAGTGGTATAGTATGGTATGGTATGGTATGGTATGAAACCATAACCGTGGTGACTTAGCCATTCTACAGTATCTCTCTCTCTAATAAGCAGGTGGCATAATAGTTTGAATAGTTTCCTAGACATCTTTGGTTTATCCAGAATAGTATAGCCTTTTCAAAGAATTGCTAAATTAAACCTTATTTATGTAGTGGAAGGAGTAAGGTTTTTTCTAAGGTTTGGTAGGGAAACTAGGAAATGACAGGTAGCATTCATGCCATATCTACATGCTAGGTAATAGTCATCATTTATGGTTAGAATCATTTACAGCACAAGTTTGACACTGCTTATTCAAGATAGTAAAATGCCAGACAGAAATAGAAAATCACTCAAAATCATTAGCAGACAAATGAATCACTGATAACATTTCAGATTTGTTATGACAATCCAGAAAAATGTTGAAATTATAAATGAAATCTGAGTGAAAATGTAGTCTGTCTAAATTCAGATCACAACTATGTAAAGTGAATGTAAACCTAAACAATAAAATATGTGCTGCCCAGCTACAGTACATGTCTAAAGCACCTAAAGACATAGAGAAAGGACTGAGAAAAATTTGATAATAATTAGACCACCAAAATACATGCAGTACATTTCTCAAATCAATGCAGTGGCTATTTTGTCATAAATAGCTGTATACCATAAGTAACTAATACCATGTGGGTTTCCTGTGGATTAGGTTAGAGGAACATTTTTCATTGAAGGAAGACCCAACACTTCTAGAGAAAGCATAATTAGATTCAATTCCTTTTTTTTCCTGTTATCCTGAAGAATAGTAAACATTCTATATTTGTGGGTACAGTATCTGTATGTATAAAATATACTGTCTGAATCAATTTATAGAATGCAAGCTATGGTAACATATATTCCATAATTTACTGATTCTTACACTTATCATTATGTTGTTTGTTCATTAGAATTTTCCTTCATTGGTTTAGTTGCAGTTATTCGTATCGAACATAATTCTAAAACATCATACTAGGTAGATCTCTACATATTAGGGGCAGAAAACAATGATTTAAAAGATGCAGTATGGTCATGCCTCCTTTGCATTTGTCATGTCTATTAGAGGTAGTCCTCAGTTAATACTCATTCAGCAATTGTTTGAACATACAATCATGCTTAAGTGGTACTTAAGATGGGTCTTTTAAGTTCTGTCTGTCACAGTATCCTGTGGTGACATGTTTATGATTTGCAACCTTCCCTGCTAGTTTTCAAGCAAAGTCATGAGGAAGCTGTCAGAAAGTCAGAAATCTCAGTCATGTGAGGTCCTTGCTTAACTATTGGCAGTGATTCACTTAATCTTGGTAACTGGGGTCTGCTGGAACTGTTTTCACTAAGGAGCCTGGTCACTTGATATTGTGCTTTAAAATCATGTCACTTAGCAGCAGAAATTCAATAAGGACTTTGCTTATAAAGGTAAACTTTTAAAGAATGCAGCAATAGCTTTTTCATTTTTTTTTCTCATACAGGGGTTATAACTTGGTTGAATTGAGCTCTTCACTGAAAACCATGGTTATAACAATACAACATTGTTAATTTCAATAGAACAACCTGAGCTTACTGTTTTTGTTCAGGTATTCGATCTCCTTACATTTTATTTTCACATAGAGACTGAATTCCTTGCAACTTTTGTGTACTCTTGACCCACTGATCACTTCCTTAAACCTCTTTAGGTTTATCATGATGACTCTTAAATCAATGAAGCTTCCTTTAGCAAGAGGAAAGTCACTGCAAAGGGAGTTATCTTTTTTTCCTTTTAGGAAAAATAGTGCATAGGCCCACTTGACACTTTGTTCTTCTGTCATACAAGTCAACAGGGCTTTGATCTTCCTTGAACATGACTAGGTATAGTTTAACACTAAAGAGTGTTTTGGGAAGAAAACACTCATTTAAAGAAACTGTTTTTTTTTTCAGACTCTAACATATCAATCTAAAGCCTGATGTGGCTTCAGGAAAGTAAACATCTCTTGCCTTAAAAATAACTTTTATTTAAAGAAACCATTTTCAGGTGACTGACAGCTTCTAGAGCTAAAGTATTTGAAAGTAAAAATTAAATCTTTTTGGAATCACACTTGACTTACTGTAGGTGGCAATAGTCCGGAAATGATTTACCATTGCTTTCTTCTGTTTTATTTTCTTATTTTGTCTTCTCAATCTGCCTCACAATTGTAGAAAATCTGACTTATTTCTGTGACCTTATATAATCTCTGAGCCAAGATGCATACTAAAACTCCATGTAAGCATTAGGAATAATTAAGCAATATTTCCTACTTCTAATATTTAGAATTAGGGGTTAAAATGTATTAACAGAGTGCTTATATTTTGGTGATAAAAGATCTTACTTTTTCAAACTCTTAGTGAAA